CTAACCATGAGGTTGTTTGATGAGTTCTTGGACATTTTGGAAAGCTTGGAATGTGTACTACAATCCATCTTTGAAATGCAAATTGAAATTCCAAGTGTAAGTATGTGAAAAATGGTCTTGAAGTTAGGCAAAAATCTTGCCTAAAATAGGTCAAATTTTCTCTAAGTTAAGAATGGTTTGGTACCCTTGTTCCAAAAATTGTAACTTGAGATACAAGCTTCTTTTGGGAAAACTTTGTGAATCAAAGTTGTAGATTTTGCAATGGACTAAAACTTTCATGTTTTGACTTTTGTTTGAATCCAAATGAATCTTGGTGAGAAAGTGGGGCAAAGTTAGGAAAAAATTAGGGTTTTTCATAACTTAGAAAAATTCTAAGTTATGAAAAATCTTCATTTCAAACCCTAATTTGCAATTCTTGATTTCTTGATGAACAAGTTTCATGATTTGGCATGTTTTGATGAAAAATGAATCTTGACACTTGATTTTGACCAAAAAGTCAAAGTTTGACTTTTCAGTATACAGTCAAAATTGATCAATTGACTGGGAAATTCAACTGTCAATCTTGTGTATTTGGGATCTTTTGAACTTGTTGAGTATGTCAAGACAATTCTATGGGGTCCTTGAGTCCATATGTGAGCTTGGTTTGCCATTGGCTAGGTCAAACAGTCAAAAATTGCCTTTGTGCAGTCAAAACCCTAAAAATGACCATTTTGCCCTTTTGGTGATTTGATCAAATTTCTTGTGGAATTGTGATCCAAACTTGATCAAATGGTCCATGTGAGTTCATAATGTTGATATGGGTCAATTTTCATGAGATTTGACTGTCAATTGGCCACAGTTGACTTTTTCCCCAATACAGCTGATTTCTAGGTCAACTGTCCAATCGACTGGGCAAAATTTGGAATCAAGACTTGAAACTTGGTATGGATAAACTTGGGAGTCCAATATGAAGCATGAAAGTCATCTTAGGAAATTTTGGTCAAAACATCTTTGTGCAAACACAAACCCTAATTTGGATCAACAGTGCAAGGAGAAGTCTTGAGCAGATGAAACCCTAACTGGATCTTGAGCTCCAAGGGCTTAGTGATGAGAAATCAATGAGAAATGGGAGGGCAAATTTTGGGGTACAACACCATAGTGCTTGTTTGTATTTCATCAAAACTAAAGTTGAGTTGAGGCTTGAGATTACATAATAAAGATAAGTCTTTTTGTTTGATGAATCTTTTCTAATCTCTTTTAACCAATTAAAAGAAAAACTAGTAACTACACCAATAATCATTGCACCTGAATGGAAACTTAATTTTAGATTAATGTGCAATGCTAGTGATTATGCCATAGGGGAAGTACTTGGTCAAAGAAAATTTAAGGTTTTCCATGCAATACACTATGCAAGCAAAGTTTTTAGTGACATGCAAGTCAATTATGTAACAACAGAAAACTAATTGCTAACAATAATGTATGCACTTAAGAAATTTAGATCATATTTGATTGGTTCAGAAATAGTTATTTATACCGACCATGTAACTATCAATTAATGAATAAACCATATTCTAAACCAGGTTTAATACGACGAGTGATCTTACTTCGAGAGTTTGACATGGAAATAAAAGACAAAAAGGGATAAAGAAATGTGATAGCTGATCACTTATTTGGGTTAGTAAACAAAGAAATAACTAGTCAAGAGAAAGAATTACTAGAAGAATTTCTAGATGAACAACTACTCATGATACAAGAAAGGTCGTGGTTTATTGATATTGTCGAGTACAATGTTATTGGAATTCTACCAGAGGACCTGAATTGGAAGAAAAAGAAAAGGTTCCTCAAGGACGTAAGGAAATATTTGTGGATAGGAGAATACTGTTTACTATCTTATCTTAAGGATAGGAGAGCAAATAAAATAAAGAGTATTGAAAAAATGAAAGTCGGGGAGAAAAAGAAAAAGGAAAATATTTCAATGAAAAACTTAAGTAGTACTGGAGTAATGAAAAGAAAGAAAAATGATTTAACAAAAACTAAAGTCACAAATTAAAATTCAAGAATATAAAAAGAAAAAGGAACCAAAAGAAAATGATGCAAGAAAGTGGAAACAAACAAAGAGAAATACGTGTAAATAAATTTCTTTAGGCTTTTGAATCCAAAGAAAAACCAATATTTTTTGTAAGCCCGGTTACGTTACAACCTAAAGAAAGACCTTAGACATCCATGTTTGATGATATATCTCGTGATAATTCTTAGACAAAGTACAAAATACTACTATATTATATACATTGTATAAATTTTTTAGGGAGACATTAACCATTGAGAGATACTCAGTGAGATCACAATTCTAATGAAGGATAAACTGTTAATTTAGACAAGTTTTGAAAATATTATTTTGGTCAAGCAAATTGTTCAGCTGTATGTTATGGTTCAAGGATATTCATGATATATATTATGAACTTGAAAATAAAAAGAACACCATGCCACACGTTTTTTTCAAAACTCTTTATTGAAAGACAGTCAACCTGTTAGAGGAGACATGCATTCAATAACATTTCTGAAACATATGGTAATTTTGTTTGAGGACAAACAAAAACATCAGTTGGAAAGAGTTGATAAGTTACAAATTTACATTAAATACGTTAAAACTTATTGAATTATTTCACAAGAAACTAGTACAAAACCCCCAATTTATCTATGAAAAGTGAGAAAACACATGTTTGAACATTTCTTGTATGCATTAATAAAAAATGGTTGAAAAGAACTGGAAAACCACTATTTCGAAAGTAGAAAATATGCTAAAGTAAAACCTCTAAAGAAACCACGCTCGCTAGGCCCAACATAGGCGCACTAAGTTCAAGATGACATGGGGAGATGGCAAAACGAACTGCAACTACTTCATGGTAAAGCAAGGGGTAGGTCGCTAGACATATGGGTGATAGGATGGGCGAGAAAATGTAACCAAGGAAACAGGAAGACATGCAAGCATTTCTTGCTGAAAAAGGAAAATGAGATGAGCAGAGTTAGTAGAACAAGGTAGGCTCCCTATGCCCAAATATTATGCGGCTAACGAGAGCTTCTGAATGTTGGCTATAAGTAGCAAGTTCCAATTTAGTGCAAATGAAGTTTTGGTGGATCAATGTAGTACACAATTGGATTTGGTTCACATTGGTATACAACATGAGAATAAGAGAGGAGGTATGAAGGCGTAAGCGATGCTCAGGTGATAAGGCATATCACACTTCCAAGGTCGGCAGCTCAGAGTTACCTGTTATTACGCTAACCTTGAATAAGCGTAGTTAAAATCACTTTGTTGGGGGTTAGATGTAGTAATTATATTCATGTACTGAATAGGTCATAATGTTCTATATAATTCTACTCATGGTGTAATATTGGTGACTCTTTAATCTTAATGTTTGTTTTAGCTTTGCAACCTAAAACCATTTTTCAAGGTGTGACGCAACATCGATAGATGCTTGTCATTATTAGATTCATGATAATCATCTATTGGATGTTAATGGCTAGACATAAGATTAAGTTTGATATCCACACGTATTGTATCATAATCGTTGTGGAGTCTCGCTACATTACGACTATTGGGACTTAATGCTCTGTATTGGTTAATAGTTTGAGATATCAGCTATTAAGTAATACATTGATCTCACAGAGTTGAGACTAAAATGAGATATGAATGAGGGTAACATGTGGTAATATTCTTAGTTGAATAAAAGAAAATATTGTTGACCTATGGATGTGCATGATAGATACATAATAATGAAATCTATCCGCAACAAACTTTCTTACTGTTACCATTGAAATTTTAATTTTAATTTATTTCATTTATTTTATGTTAGTTTCTTTATGCTTAGAATCCAATACACAACCCTTTTCTCTAGTTAAAATCTTAAAAATTGTTGAACAGTTTTTAAAATCTTTGGTCTTTATGAATACGATAATTGTAAAACATACTTTTGCTTCTAACACAAGATTTATAGGGCGACAAAAATTCTTTATTGAAGTTCCAAAATTTAATAGCCTCATAAGGTGGCAAAGATACTTAATTGAAATTTCAGCATTTAATAGCCTCATATGGAGGCATGGAACATACATTGAAGTTCCATTATTTAGTAGCCGCTTAGGGTGGAAATGATATTTCATTAAAGTTCCAATATTCAATAACCTCATAAGACATAAAGGATACTTCACTAAAGTTTCAACATTCAATAGCCTCATAAGGCAGGAAGGATACTTCATTGGAATTTCAATATTGAATACACTCATAGGGTGACAATGATACTTCATTGAACTTCTAACATTCAATAGCCTTATTCGACGACAATGATACTTTCACTAGTGCAGAAATGACTTTTTACATCGGGTGAAACTGACTTTTTACATCGGTTCTGGGTCCAATGTAAAGTCAGGCGATATAGTAAATCAGGTACTTTTTACATCGGTTCTGGGTCCGATGTAAAAAGTCCCTTTTTTACATTGGTTATAATATAAGAATGATGTAAGAAACAGTTATGACTATTTTAAAAAAATTGATCCAATTTTTTACATCAGTTGGAAGTAATAACCGATGTAAAAAGTCCCTTTTTTATATCGGTTATAATTTAAGAATGATGTAAGAAACAATTATGACATTATTTTAAAAAAATTGATCCAATTTTTTACATCGGTTGGATGTAATAACCGATGTAAAAAGTCAGTTTCACAACAATTCCTGCAAATTTTTGGAGGATTTATTTTTCTTTATAATAACACAACAATTCCTTCAAAATTCCCAAACAACTTGTCATAATAAGTGAATAATCTTTTCAATCAATCTGTATGTTACATCTAGTATGTAAAAATACAGCAGGAGGAAAACTTTGTTTTTGCAGCAACAATTTGCAGAGATACATAATGGACTTGTCTAAGTGCCTACATAAGGTTATATTGGACCATTTTTACAAATCTTTTTTTGTGCTAGTACCAGTACAAAAATACTAATATATGCAGCATTTGTTTCTCTTCTATCATTCACGATGTTGATGTCGATTAGCTTGCTGAGACTTCCTCTCTCTCTTAAAAGCTTTAAAGAGATCAATGCCAAGACAAATGTTCAGAAAATTCATCCCTGCCATGCCAAACAGGGCCAGTGGTAACTCCACACCCTTTCCAAATTTGTGAGCATCTTTGATGAGTTTCACTGTGATGAATATGTGGGACGCGCACCTTGCCACAAAAAAGGTAGTGCAATTAAGAAACCATTCTAACTTAATAATGACGCTTCTTGCGTCGCAAATATCGGCCATTCGTCTCACCTTTCTCACATTTAGAAAGATGGAATGCAGCTGTACAAAAAATACACACAGAAGTCATCCTTAGTACTAAGCATTATGCAGCAGTTCAACACATACATTCACACATTAATAGATGAAGAAGGTTTTATGCTTACCTCGCAGATAAGAGTAAGAATATGGTAGTTGATAGTGACATTTCGATACAAAGCAAGAGTGAAGAAAATAAGGAGAACCAGATGATGCACAAGAATAGAAGGGATCCAACCACAAATATAAGCGGTAATGAAGCATATCCCATTGATCATATGCAAAGTAACCACAGGAAAAAGACAATGCTTCAAATGCCCATGGCCAAGTACCTTCAACCAACTGCGAGTGATCAAACATTGCGCTCAACCCATTCTTTAACCACTGTGTGGACAAGATGAAGGGTTTTAAAAAGGGTTTTAAAAAAAGTTCTATGTAATTTTTCCCTGAAACCAAAATAGCGGTTGCGATAGCAAGTTCGGAGCCGCTACAACCACTATTGTTTATGGTAGTTCACATACCAAAAGTGTTGCACCAAACACTACCACTGCAACCCTAATCTGCTATAGCACCGCAATAGCACTATAGCACGGCAAAAGATAAGGAAATTACTATGTACATTTGTATTGTCTCCACACTTCATAGTAAGACATTCATACGAAATTATTTCCAACCTTGAGTAATTAATAGAATCCAAAAGAAGCAAAACTATAACAAATTCCAACTATGACAAAAATGTACACCAAGTTCTAAACAAGATTCACAAACTATGAACATAGTAATAAGATCATATCAAATCCAATGCTAAGCCCAATTCCAAATCTGTAACCTAAAAAATGAGAATTAAAGAGAAAAAAACCATACATACCCATAACCAGGCAAATCAACCAAATACCAACTATCATTAACTCGAAAATGGTTAATCAATTGCGTCTTCCCTACAAAACAAAAAACAATAAAAAAAACATCAAATTCCACAAAATCAAAAGCAAAACCAAAAGAAAAACAACAATAATACACCAACCAGGTTTCTTCGAAGTCAAAGCAAGATTCTTTCGCCGCACAATAGAATTAAGGAGTGACGATTTCCCGACATTGGACCTCCCAACAAGCGCAAACTCAGGAAGACCATCAGGCGAACAATCTCTAGTTCCGACGCTACTTTTAACAAAATCGGCTTGTATAATTTTCACATCAGTGGCATAATTGTTGAGTAATATATTCGAACCTTTTAGGACTCTTGCATTTTCGTGAGTGAGATGGGTGTTTGGAGGAACGAAGAGTTTTTCGAGAGGGAGGGTTTGGGGTTTAGGGGTTTGAATGAAGAGTTGCTTTGGTTGTGGATTTGTGTTTGTGTCTGTGAGAGTGGATTTTGGTGATGGGTGTAATAGCGCGGTGAAGGTGCGTGAGGCTTGGCGAGAGAATGAGGGAGAGGATAACCTTGGGAGATGAAGGAAAGACATGTCACAAAAACTTCACAAAACATAAACAAACCCCTAATTTGACCAAACTCAAACAAATTGCACAAAATCAAAACCTAATGAAATTAAAGCAAAAGAGAGAGAACCTGAAGTAGAGGTAACGATAGAATGAAGAAGGGAAACTGAGGTGTTAACAAAGAGAGGGTCATTAGAGGAGAAGAAACGGATGAGAGAGTCAGAAGTCTGGTAGAAGAAGGAACCGGCGATGATGTAGAGAAGTTGGGTTCGGTTTTTCTGATGTTTTTTACATCGGTTGGTAGGTGGCCCGATGTAAGGGGTTTTTTACATCGGTTGAACGTATGCCCCGATGTAAGGTTTTTAATATATTTTATATATTACCAATCTGCCTGTGAACCATTTACATCGGTTTTTAGTTACCCCAGTGTAATATCTTGCTTGTTTTTTATTTACAATTCTGCCACCTTGTTTCTTATTTACAAAAATGCCACCGTATTGTTTTTCTGAAAACCTTTTACATCGGTGGATGACAATGCCCGATGTAATAGATAACGAAAAATATTTTTTTCTTATTATTTATATCATTGCAAATAAGTACCTGATGTAAAATGTTTTTAATGGTATTTTTTACATCATATATTTTAATACCTGATGTAAATTTTTTTTCTCAAATGTCATTTTTTTAGTAGTGTTTATTGAAGTTTCGGCGTTCTATAGCCTCATAAGGCGACAAGGGTACTTCATTTAAGTCTCAACATTCAATAGCATCACAAGGCGACAAAAATACTTCATTGAATTCCCAACATTCAATAACCTTATAGGACAACAAGGATACTTCATTGAAGTTCCTATATTCAATGGCCTCATAAAGTGACAAAGATACTCCGTTAAAATTTCAACACTCAATACTTCTAGCTTCATCATTTAGACAATTCTTATGATATGATGCCTAATTAAAAAACCATGTGAGGCAGGAGAATCTTGAATGATGTTCTACAAACTGAATTATCCGATAGAATAAACTTTAAATCGAGAGTATTTACAAACATGGTTCCACAACAATTCTATTGATGATTATTTTACTAAATTAAGAAACTTCTCATTTTCACGGTTAAAAAGAATTGTCAATGTAATTTTATATATTCAAACGTAAAAGCAAACACATGCTAAGTCAAAGACCAACTCAAGTTTTGCTTAACGGAAATATGCATTTGATAATAGTAGGTTGATCAAAAGTTTGACATTTTGATGAAAGATCAACAAATACTTTTAAGTTAAAGCCATACATAGAATCCATTCTCTTAAAGATGACAAAAGCAATCTCAAATAGTAGTCCCCTGTGTTTTTTGTCATTAACCGTGAGGTCTCTCTCAGTCTCATTTTTCTATTCTATGCATGGTCTTTATCACACGTGATTCGTGTCTCCTCCCTCTCTATCTTGCTTTTCAAGTTTCAACATTATTCAGTGTTGATTAATCTGCCCTTCATCTAGTTTGAAACTTATGATAAACTCTTGTTCATATTAGTTGACTTTGTATTGTTCTTGTTTCTCTTTCCTACAGTTGTGGGATACCCATTAAGTTTGAAAATATCTGAGTGCACTGTTTTGTGTAGCAATAAAAACAAAACAATACCAAAACGATAGTTTTGTAGAAATGTGTGTTAAGATTTAAACATGCGAGGAGAAATCTTATTAGTTACTTAAGTATCAAAATCTAACAGTTTCTCTAATCAAGCGAATAACTCGATGAGTCAAAGAATAAACGCTACCATGTCTCCTTATGGTCTACCAATATAATTCTTACTACTAGTACATGGCAAGGATACTAGTTTCTCTTGCCAATACCAGACTAGAAATTCAGATATTTAAATTCTCCAGTAACCAACACCATATTGTGATCGCTTAGATAAAAATGCACGATAACAATTAAGGCATAATGTTGGGGGACCACACCTAGAAAACATGGTCGAAAGAGTACTTAACAAGCATAGATTCAATGTGGGCCATGTGAATTGACAATTTTATTTCTCAGGGGACAAATGTTAAACGCGATGCTCTGACAATAGGTTTGACAAGTTAAATCATAACGAATACAATTATAACAATATGAGTTGTATAAATTAGTTGATGGAGTTGAAAAACGATAAATGACACAGAGAATTTATAACACATTTCAGGAAAACTACACCTATTTCTAGAGGATTGAGTCCACCTCATAACCCGCATATCACTATTAGTAGCTTAGCACATTTAATCTTACAAGCAACAACAAATCCTAAGATGTCATATGCATTTTCGTAACACTATCCAATGACTTTCTATTTAGATTTCTCTTTAAATATGAGAACCTCTCACTTTCTCACTCAAACAACAACACCTTAGTGTTTGGACTTTACAATCACTAAATCCTAGTGATCAACCTCAATCAAAACTATGAGTGATGTTGAATCTTACAACTCAACTAGACAAATCTATTATGCCAAGTTACTGAAACATAATGGTGTACATAAAACAACAACGACTCCTTGTAAATCTAGCACTCTAAAATCTTCAATGTGAATGTTTGAATTCCAATGCAGGTTATGAGCTCCTTATATAGAATAATTCTTCTAAGATTTTCTTCATGGATATTTGATTTGATTTCGTCCATAATTGATGCAAAATCTATTGGATATTATTTGTTCCTTAAATCTCGCCAACAACATATAATTTGTTTCAAACATAAATTGAAATTTAAATCTTCATTTAAATATGAATTATTCTTCATCCAGCTGTCAAACAAATCACCTAATTATATTATTAAATCAATAACAATAAAATCTGATCCAATCTTTGATTAAAGAATCTTACAAAATGAAACAACAAAGTTCTGATGCGCAAGACCCGAATGTCGTTGCAACATGCTTAGACATCATGTCCAGCATGTGTGCTTTTTGTACCTCCATACAGTTTAAGCATGCTAGATCAACTTGAACAATTTGAAGACTTTTTCATGTATTATTTTATAAAATGCAGTCAATCAAAAGGACCAATTCACAAAGAACTTAAATCCTCCATTTGGGAAATTATGGCAAAACAACTCTTCAAGATATAGCATTTTGTTCAGATCATAACAAGTGGCAGCTAGTAGAATCAATGAACTTCATCATCCAGTAGAATCACAAGTCTTCATCAGAGCATTCAGCCAGCAACAATATTCTTCCAATTTATTAGAGTTAAGCACAACAACAATAATAGAAGCCAGTAGCATGAAGCATGACATTCACATGCTTACATATATGTAGCAGTAGAAATATTGAGACTAAGCCATTAGATTGACTTAACTCGCAAATCAATGAAAATCGCCACCACACTTGTATTTTATCCAAAAGAATGGAAAAAGGACGAATAAATCCAAAGTAAAATAGAGATCAAGGTAAGGGGTTGGTTATGCAAAGGGAAGATATTAGCACTCTAAATATCTACGGTACTCCGCAAGAACCTCTTTAAAAATATGTGTATTTTGACTATAGAAGAAATATTTACAAAAACGAGATTGCGCGAATATAAAAGAAGTGTTTTTTTTACAACTTTTGCACCCGCCACAGTTGTGAAAATTTTGTTCCTACGTACCCCCTTTGTGCAATAGAGGATCAAGGCATTCGTAGTTCTTCTCAAATTTTTTGAAAATTTAGTGTGTTGGTTAATTTTAAGAAAAGGGTTTTTAAGAGAAAAGTCAAAGCAACAACAATATTTGAATTTGTTTTGTATTTTTGAAGTATTGGATAAAGAATTCATATCTTGATTAATATTGATTGATGACTTTATTAAGAAAATAATTTTGAAAATGCATGGACCTAAGTCCAAATATTTTTATGAAAGCGGTTCAAGTTAGAAAACAAGAATCCTTTGAAAAAGGGAGAAGATTTTGAAAATTAAAGATGAATGGGAGGAGATGAATAGACTATCCTAAAGCACAAAGTAAAATCTAAGGTAAGGAAAGATCTAACCAAACAAGAAGCCAACACTTGACATTATGAAGTCAATGGAGAATTCTTATCCTTTGGATTAAAAGCCACAAGTACCAAATAAACCTAGAGCATACCAATCACTCATATAAAAATAAATCACAAGAAAAGAAGCATAAAAAAAACCCCAAGGTTTTAAAACCCAAATCAATGTCTTAAATATTGATCCATGTGCCATATATATCACCTAAGGCCAACAGAATAACACTTGTACACAGAAGATTTTCCAATACAAGAAAAATAACAATGAAATAACACAAGGTCCAAAATTCTCAAGGTCTTAAAATATCAAGGCAAGGCTTCTAATCTTAAGTTCAAGAAGTCCACAACTCCAATATGCCAAAGATAGTAACCAATAGTCCAAAAAAATGTCTTAAGTCTTTTAATGTTCAAGTTGGTTCTTAAGTGTCTTCAATAGAAAATAAAAAAGCTCAAGTGAGCAAAGATAAAATGACATAAAAATAAATTCTCAAGTGAGAAAAAGGAAAATAACATGAAATATAAATGCTAAAGATAAAAGTGCATAAAAAATAAAAGTATATAAATAAAAGGCATAAATATAAAAGTATAAATTAAAGTTAATTGTTAATGGTTAGTAAGTTAATTTGTTAATTTTTAACAGTCACAAAGTTTGATCAATGATGGTCTTAGACCAAACATAATGAAAACTCATTAGAGGATTGATAAAATCAAAGCCTCCTAACAAAAAGTTTCATAGGTATTGGACTATAGATAACCAATCAACTATACTTGGGCTTACAAGCATAAAGTCCGAGCCACAAATGATCATTTTCCGAATCAGGACAAATTTAGCGCTATGTTAAGCAATCGTAAATGGACTTATGTAGAAGTCACACCTATTTTTAGGTTATTCAATAGCAATGTATGTACCATACATGTTAGAGACATGGTAAAATCCAAACTCCTAAAACATGTAGCAGAAGTAAAAACCAAAGATCAAGACCTAAGTCATGATAAATAGAAAAAGAGACGAGGTAAAGATGAATTCCACAATA